AAATATAAAAGTGAATATTGAAGTTAACAGATACAACAGACTGTTTCATGCTAAACACAATTATCTAGCTTGAGGATTGACTTCAATGTTCAATTTGAAATTTGAGCTCTCTGGGGAGGAGGTGTGGGTTGGTAAACAGTGACTATTATAGCTATATAGCTAGACTCTTCGCTAATGCGAATTGAGTCACTCCCGGTCACTGAGCGTGTTTATAAAAATAAACACGCTAAAAATCCACTTTCCTCCCTACATTGCGCCGATGGCTTAATGGTTAGAATCTCCGACTGACACACTGATGAGCTGTGAAACAGCGAACAGTCTGTCTGTGGGTGACGGTATATATATATTATTTTGTTGTAATATTCGGATACATACAAACGTATATATATATATATATAGATATAGATATAGATATATAAATATATATATATGTACGTTTGTATGTATCCGAATATTACAACAAAATAATCGTTCACTCGCCAGTGATCAACAATCGCCTGAAAAACAAAACTATTGTATAGTGATTCTTACATGTTTTTGCTGTAATATATTAAAATAAATAATATTGCTCTACTATGTACTGAGCCATCTTTTAAATCAAATTTTACGAACGTTGGAAGTGTACTCTATACTTTCATCGTACATATATATATATATATATATATATATATATATATATATATATATATATATATATATTCATATTTGGGCCGGAAAGTTTATTTTATATATATTTCGTTAAATACGAGAGACAGGGAAAATTTAATTATTTTTTTTATTTAATCTACCGGTCTTAATATTCGAGAAATCATATTAGAATAAAAGATGCGTTCGGTGATATGATACGATATCACCGAATGAGCATTTCGCTTTAACACAATTTTTCAGTATGTGTGCTTGGTAAGTTGTATTTAGCAACAATTGTTTCTGTGTAGCATGAACAAAACCTCCAGTTTCAGCTTCTAATCTTGCAATACGTAACAACTAAGGGGCAGCTGTATTAATGTTTATTTGCATCTCTTCACCTACATGAATTTCTATTTTGAAAATTTGGCTTTCTTGATTACTAAATAAAATTTCTTACATCTTCCATGTTTCTTGAAACGGATCATTATATTGTCTTCTGTAGTTTCCTGGTATCTTTGACGAAATACAGTTGCGGTTTGTATGTTCTAGTTGAACTAATTCTCTACCTCCTACGGATCTGGACACATGCAGAAGATCAATATCAGCTTTAGGATGATGAATGCGTTAGCGTGTAAGAAATTTAACGCCAGTTGCAAACGTTGTAGTATTTATTTTATTACTTTCTCCTTTATTTGGATCTACTGTACTCCTTTGTTGACTTTTAAGTATTTATCACTTACATTCTGTTTCAGTTCCCTAATATTTGTGGCAAAACCTAAATCTATCGAGTGTTTCAGTAATTCTCTTTTCTTGAATGTTACTTTTGCGCATCTATCAAATCCGAATTCTATAACAATGTCATCATTGAAACCTTTTACAGTATTGAGGAGACTCTTCAAGTCATTGCCATCTTTGGCAAAGAGTTCAATATCATTCATCATATTATAAAACCCAGGTTGTATGTGTGTGTGTGTGTGTGTGTGTCTGTTCGTTTACATATTGGATCGGATTTCCTTCATTTTTCAACCGATTTCAACAAAATTTCACAGAACTACGTATAATTACCTTGCTGTGGTTTTGACAGTCCCCAAAATTGAAAAACACAATTGTTTTTGTGCGAAATCAATTTGAAAACACGATTAAGAGGCATCGCTGTCGCCAGAATGAAAGATGGACAACTCATATCGAGCTATACTTATTATAAAACCCAGGTTGTTTTTGTGTGTGTGTGTGTGTGTGTGTGTGTGTGTGTGTGTGTGTGTGTGTGTGTGTGTGTGTGTTTGTTTATATATAGGATAGGATTTCCTACATTTTTCAATCGATTTCAACAAAACTTCACTTTTGCAGGTAGTGTTTCTTATATCGTGCACACTTTTTTTCTTTATTTTTACATTCAGAATGCTTTAAAAATTCCATTTACAAGACAATTGTTTATAATAAAATTCTATTCAATCGGTAGACTTATAACGATTGAAAACAATGTTTTCGTTTGAGTTTAAACTAATTAAGACGTGCGTGTCTGTCAACCTTAAACAATAATCTTTGTCAATTTTATTTTTCAGTCTTTATGATGGTCGATACTTGATCTATCTCTTACTGTTACATCCCGGGGCAACGCCGGGCTCTACTGCTAGTGTACAATATGTGATTAAACACTTTCTTGTTTTTACTTTGTATTCATATTTATTACTGTTTAGTTCAGTGGTTCTCAGCCATTTTATTCTTGTGGAACTCTTGAAATAGTTTTAATATCTCAAAGAATCCCTGCACAAAAATTATTATATACTATTCTTAAAAACAATCTGTTTTTTTAATATTTTTATCTTAGTTCTCGTTGTAAACATAATATATGAACATCGTGCATGTTTCCTGCACTCGAGTGAGTCACTCAATGATACAGGAGTCCGACCTGTACAGGTCCTGACCAATAGGTATTTACTCTGTCTCCCCACTAAGACTAGTTGGAACACAAGGGATTTTTTAGGTGGGGCAGGTCTTGTCCACTAACCAGTGAATGCAGTTTCATACTGACACTATGCAGACATTGCTAAATATATTCCCTATGATTATGATAATTTTAAATAATATAAGAGTTTGAATCCTTTGTTATAAAACCAAGTTTTTTTTCCCAACAATATGCCGTTCGTGTATCGTAAAATTACTAATATAAAACAAAACAAAAATTGTTCAAAAATTAGCTTATTTATCACTGTTTCACACGGAACCCTACCGACGATTTGTGGAGCCTTGGGGTTCCGGTGACCACCGGTTGAGAAATTCTGGTTTAGTTCATGCAAAACGGGGATTAACGAGGCAAAAGGGAGAATCCTTGAAAGATTCCTTGTCAGATATTCAAACATAATTGTCAGTAACTTTGTTTGTGTTTAAGTATAATGTAGTTTCCCATGGTTTCATGCTATATTTAAGGAAACGAGAGGACTATGTTGATTCACAAATCTTTAATTATCCAAGAATGTAACACACAGTCAAAGGCTTTATGCTAATTTATCCAAGCGCTTTTGAGATTTTTCCATATTTTCCTGCAAATTTCCAGGATCATTGTATTTATTAGGAGTTGATCTTTGCAATCATATGAACCTCTTAGACATCACTTCTGTTCCAGGAGAAGAATGTCGTTTTTTTTTTTGTTTTTTTAACGAGAAAAGAGTAGGTACAGTCCGTCATGACAGACGTGATTAAAGTATATTTGTTGGGATAACCTGTTTCGAAAAGAGAGATGTAATGATCAAACGACATTAGATTAGAATTCCTTGAAAACTACCGAGTTGAAATCACTGAAACAGAAAACACATTATTCAGATAATCTGAGAAGAAACTCTCACACAAATATCAGAACGAGACCGATTTCTAACGAATCATATGACAAAGTCCATTAAACATATTGTGCAAACAGCTAATTACCTACCATAATTCGACAATTAAAAAATAACCTCCAAGATTTGAATTATCAAGTTGCATATTTAGTATAATACAGTTGTGTAAAATCGGGGAAAATACTTTAGGGCTAAAGAAGAAAAAGCTGTCTATATTTCTGAGATGATGTATTATGTATAATATTTAAATTAGTCGGACTATTGTCCTCATCTTTTTCGCCATACAGCACAGAGGATAAAGGCGTTGGTCAGATCCAGTAACGGAACCCAAGCAGTGTGAGTTCGATACCCATTTAAGTCAGTGGAGAACTTGGAGAGGGGAATTAACATAAGATAACTGATAACTGACATCAATTAAACATGGCACGTGGAACTAGAAAAGTCTACCCCAGTGAGCGAAATAAAGGGTTCTGTTCGACATTCCAACAACCTGAATAAGACCGGAGCGTACAACGGCCGAAACGTTGTAATAAATATGGCGACAAAGATAAGGACAATAGTCCGAGTAATGTAAATAGAGGAAAAAAGTTTTACAAATTAGTAAGTATTCACACAAATCTTTGGAAATCTATTATATTTATGAAATATGATATATTTGATAGTGGGTGTAGTTGATAGTCATATGTTCGATTGATATGTCATATTAAGGAGAAAATCATATGTTCTATTCATATGTCATATTAAGGAGAAAACGGTCTGCAGCTGTGTATTTTTTAGATCACGAATTGTTGAATCAGCAATTACGAGGAAGATGAATGTCTCTTTAGAAAAGGAGTTTCCTCCTCGAATATTTTTCAGTGAAAATCTTGTATATTTCTGTAATGCTAAGGGATTTTCCCTCACTCAATTTATCCTCTCCATCAATGACAAGTAGTCGACAAAATTTAAATATGTGGGACTCTAAAATATTCAGTACAGATCCTATACGTTTTGCTATTTATTTCTAAATGAAAAAAAAAAACATTATTCGCGTGAAAGGTCGTCTGGTTTGATATTCAGTAGGAGATAGAGACAGCACAAATTTGCTGTATTGACCTGAAGTCAGCAGTGGAGATTAACCTGACGACACTTAGCCTGTAACAGAACAAGTGATTAAATACTATTTCGAGCCACATATTTACAATATTTCTTTTGAAACCCAAAATCAATGAAGTAGGATAGCTTAAAAATATTTTAGAATTTTTAGTTCTATTACACCTGGTAAACTATTAATTTGATATTTATATTTACTACTAAATTTATTCAAACACCGTTTCAATAAATTCTAGCAATCTTGTTTAGCGTTGCTTGAAAATATAAAATCTAATTACTTACTCGAATATCTCATAGAGTGTTTCAAAACATGATTTAAAAGAAAGTGAAAAAACAAAAACAAGATATAAATAAAAAAATGAATAAATAATAGATTTAGGTTTCGAAATTAATTTCTCTTAATAAGAACTTGCAGGATAAAAACTTGTATATCTACAAACTTATAGAATGGTTTCGACTTTGTTAACAACCTCTCTAGCTGAAAACAAGCGACGGAAAAGAAAAGTAAGTAAAATTAAAAAAAAATGATTGATGTTGGTAAGAAAATTAAGATTCGTCGATAATCAAGGAAGGAGACAAATTTTGTAAAAAAAAAACGTAAATACACAGTTTAAAAATTGCACTGTTATTTAAAGAAAAATATATCTATTATTTACCTAAAAGCGAAATACATTTAAGTGAATAAGGTTGTTAAGATGAATGCGAGGAGAAAAATATCAAATAAAAATACTCTAGGAAGTGAATTTTATCTGGCATTACCTATTACAGTCTGACAAAATTTATGTCAATATCTCTCTCTCTCTCTCTCTATCTATATATATATATATATATATATATATATATATATATATGTGTGTGTATGTATATATATATATATAGTTGTTATTTATCTATATTTTGTCCATATCTTCTTATTCCTAAATATCTGTATATATTTTGTGTTTATCTGTTTTAGTTCATATCTATCTATCTATCTATGTATTCCTCTCTGTGTGTATATATATATATATATATATATATATATATATATATATATTCCTTTTTCTTATCTGCCTATCTTTTGAATTTTCAGGTTATTAGCTATATATATATATATATATATATATATTTATATATATATATATTAGGTATTTGTCTCTTTTTTCTATCTATTCTAGTTCTATCTGCCTGTCTTCTTTTGGTTGTTATGTATATATCTACAGTAGTTCCTATCTATCGATCTATATGACTTTAGTTCATTTCTTTTCGTTCTCTCTGCTTTATCTATCTATTAATATATATATATATATATATATATATATATATATATATATATATATTTTCAAATTAATATCTGTCTATCTGTCTCGATCTTTAAGTTGTTATCTATGTATTTCTAGATTTTATCAGTCTGCCCGTCTATCTATCTGTATAAATACTTTTCTTTATAATTATTTTTTTACTTCTTCTCTCTCTAATTCTTTGTAGTTGTTATCTGTCTGTTTCATGTTTTTTTATATTACTAGTTTTTGTATTTGTTCCTCTTTCTTCTTAATCTATTTTAGTTCTTGTCTATCTATCTATTTTACTTATATTTTTCGTACTTTTCTATATTTTTAGTTGTCATCTATCTATTTTTAGTTCTTATTTATCTAGTTTAGTTCGTATCTATCTACGCATATTTTTTCTTATATGTATCTATCTATCTATCTATCTATCTATCTATCTATCTATCTATCTATCTAGTTCATATCTATCTATGTGTCTATAATAGTTGTTTATCTTCCTATCTTAAGTCATCATCTTTGTATCTGTCAAATCCTAGTTCTTATGTATGTATCTATTTGTAGACAGTATCTGTTTATTTCTCGTTTTCATCTGGCTGGCTATCTATCTATCTATCTATCTATCTATTTCAATATTTCATATCTATCTATCTATCTCAGTCTTTTCATATCAGTCTGTATAACTATCTATCTATCTATCTATCTATTTCAGTTTTTTCATATCTATCTATATATCTCAGTGTTTTCATAACAGTCTCTATATCTATCTATCTATCTGTCACAGTCTTTTCATATCTATCTATCTATCTATCTATCTATCTATCTCAGTCTTTTCATATCTATCTATCTATCTATCTATTTCATTTTTTTCATATCTATCTATGTATCTCAGTCTTTTCATACCAGTCTGTATATCTATCTATCTATCTATCTATCTATCTATCTATCTATCTATCTATCACAGTCTTTTCATATCTATCTATCTATCTATCTATCTATCTATCTATCTATCTATCTCAGTCTGCACCTTATCTATCTATCTATCTATCTATCTATCTATCTATCTATCTATCTATCTATCACAGTCTTTTCCTATCTATCTATCTATCTATCTATCTATCTATCTATCTATCTATTTCTGTTTTTTTCATATCTATCTATGTATCTCAGTCTTTTCATACCAGTCTGTATATCTATCTATCTATCTATCTATCTATCTATCTATCTATCTATCTATCTATCTATCTATCTATCTCAGTCTTTTTATATCTATCTATCTATCTGTCTCTGTCTTTTGATATCTATCTATCTATCTATCTATCTATCTATCTATCTATCTATCTATCTATCTATCTATCTATCTCAGTCTTCTATCTCATCTATTTCATATTCATCTATCTATCTATCTATCTAGAAATCTATCTATCTATCTATCTATCTTCCATCTATTTCATTTTTTTTTTCACATCCATCTATGTATCTCAGTCATTTCAATACCAGTCTATCTATCTATCTTTCATCTATCTATCTATTAAATCTAATATTATCTATCTATCTATCTATCTAGCCTGATCAGCATCTGAATTAACTATTAATCGCATCTATTATCTCATCTTCCATCGATAATATATTTTTCTTCTTCTCAATGTTTTTCGTGTTATTTATCTGTAGCCCTGTTTCATATCAAATCAAAAATGTGTCTTCGCATTCAAACACAGATTCTATGAATCTATTTCCTTTGAAAACGTTGAAGCTGGACATGAAGATTCTATGTTTTCATATGCGTACAAGAAGATAATATGCTTCTATATTCCTGCTCTCCATTTGTTTGCGTATGGCGGTGTTTAGTCGAAAGTCAAACTGATAAAAAAAATCAAAATATCCATCTACATTCAGTGAATGATTCAAAAGACATCAACAAAATATCGATACGTGCAATTCTTCTTTTGGGTTTTTCATTTCCTATATACATTGGAGAATAGAAACAAATTTGCACATGTTAACGGTATTACAACGTTTTATGGCCTATTGAATTGCATATCAAAAAGCGACAATCCAACAGCCGAATGTTATAATCTGTGTCCTCTCACATGAGAAAGTCAGTAAATCAAATGCTTGTGTTATATCCAGCTCAATTTTTCTTAAGATTTTTACATCCGCTATAGAAAGAAACTGACGCCAATAAATGGATATGGAAAATTTTTTATAATTTTCAAGCTGTTTAATTCATCATCTTAAATGTAAACCTACCAAAGAAGATTTAAATTTTTTTAAATCATTTTCAATAAAATTTTATAAGAAGATGGACAGTATATTTTTTTACAAAACTTGAGGAGTGGATTGTCCGTTTTTGAATCAGAAACAAAAGTTGTTGTGGTAGAAATGGCGGTTACATTTAAGTATTTCAAAGGTAAAAGGGTGGGACTTTGATGCCAATCTAGTAGCAAGTTTTAATTCATGTGGTCGGGTCATCAGGGAAGAAAAAATTGATCAGGCCAGTTGCCATGGAAATATTTGTAGAAAAGAATCCACGTCACGTCAGTGAGGAAGTGACTTGAGTCAAAATGCTAAGTCAGGATCGATTACATTACAGCGTCTTATTTGGTTTTTGTCAATAATATGGAGATGTACATTAGGAGCACCAGAACCAAAACAATATTCAATACACGGACGGATTGTAGATTTGTAAATGAGCAAGATGGATTCCTACGCGAAACATTTTGTCTCACGACACAGGTAACCAACTTTCCGTGCAGGTGCATGAAACTTAAGCGAAATTTAATACAAACTAGAAGCATGGCCCGACGTTGCCCGTGCTTGATTCAAAATTCGTACGACTCATACAGTAATCGCTATCCCTTGACTTAAAATATTTTTTCCCTTCCCCCTCTTTTTAAATTTCTGGCCTTTTTTCGTGCTGATGTTGCTGCATATAAATCTTCTTTGCCTATCTCACACTACGATTTTTTTCTAAACTCTATACTAAACATGAAATCTCATTCCGCAGAACTGTGTTGGGTGTGAAAAAGTATATGTTGTTAACACTCTTTTTTCATTCGGCTTTTCCAGTTAGGAGTCCTTTTTTAAAGCTGATCGTTTTGTGTTTATTGTGTTCACGCTGGCCAATAGAATCTTCCTGCTTATTCGTGACAGCGAGCTATAGGCTCTCACTCTGGCCAGTACAAAATGTCCGCAAACTGCATGAAAACTGGCGTAGAAGCATGAACAAATCGATTATTTCCACTATCGATGGGAGTTGAAAAATGCAGAGTCGGTCTTGGCCTTCCCGATAACTTGGAGCATGTGCATGTAAATTTTGGTGCAAAATCCGTCCGAAATCGCGGCCGTGCATTTTACACACACACACACACACACACACACACACACATCACATCCTGCCTTTTATAGATCCTGCCTTTAATTTATAGAAATTTTTTCACGTCTTTTTCATTGCTGTTTTCATTGCATTGCAAAAAAACAGATTTCAAATTTATGCTGGCTTTTCTGATTAATTATTTCTCAACCTGTAACATCATTCCGACGGACAAAACCTTTCTAGCTTTTTACTACTATATCATTTTTTCCATGACAAATGTTCAGATTAGCCACGTTCCTTAGTTCCTACAGATCTGATCTGTCATGCCTCGCACACAGCGTCATCTTATCCATATGTCGTTCGCATTTATTTTGTTTGGATAAAGGCCCTCCCTGATATCTTCCTCCTTACACTTGCCACTGCGTCGAATGGCAATCATCGTTCCTACTTTCTTTACTGTTGCCAGTGGCCAGCCATGTCTAAAGTTATACTATTTACATAGGTTTTCATATTTGCGATAAGGCTGATCTTGAACAGAAAACTATCCTCTACCAATTGTTCCAAGATATATTACTGAAGACAAAACTTTACAAAACGAACGGTCTGGAATTGGAATGAAATCAGAATCCATCATAAAAATTCAGGATGTAGAATTAGTAAATGCTAAACACTTCAAAACGGAACGTTACAAGTTATTATAGAAGAAAATGGAATCGAACATAAAATAGACAGCGCTAGTTTTTTTGCAATAACGCAAATTGTTGCCAAACCTAAACATTTGTCAAAGAACTCGAGTTATCTTCTTAAATAGCTTCGCCAGATCGAGAAATATATATGGGTGTTATGCTTGGTGCCAAGCCCATTCACATATATCTGTCAGACGTGCTCGGATACCCCACGTTAAAACTCGGCCTTTTGTCACATCTTGTTGCGTTTGGTAGTGGGTAAATAATATACAAACGCTTTCTGTGATCAATATTCATAGATGACTGTGGGCGTATGTATAATCCGCAATTTTAGGTTACATATGACCATCCTTCTTTGAGAATAGTAGACTGAAGTTAGAGGATCACAAACAAAGAACTGTACCAACTAACGGAAACCACCTCAATTGAGGACTATCAACAACATCAACATCTAAGATGGATATCACATGTAAATCTAAGAGGAAATAATGACATAATGAACACATTAACGATTCACATTACTACAAATAAATGCTTAGGATAGATCTCCCCATCAATATTTGAAAGAGCGGTAAGATCTACTGGGCTTGCGACATAATTTCATGAAGAATTGTTTCAAGAGAATGATATATTTTTTTTTAAATTTTAACCGACCGCAGTACATGCTTCTCGGCTAATGGATACCAAATGTTTCCTTCTTTGGAAATATCTAATATAAACATTACCATTACATCATCATTACTATCATGATCATTATCCACTTCACTTTTGTAATCCTGGGGCGGATCTGAATGCAGAAGACAGAATAACTTTTTCCACAGCGGTCTATCAACGGTAGCCATCTACAATTTAGGTATAGTCATACATGTTCATTTTTTGACATTGTATAACCAGTTTAAAAATTGCACCATATCTCCTACGTTCAGATTTTCAAAAAATTTCTTTTATTGATGGTTTTGATGTAAATCAATGTAATGTGCCATGTAATGTTTTCCCAATTGACAGTGGAAAGAAATGTTTCTGGGGTCCCACAAAGCATGCAAATAAAATTCCGCACAACCTCATTGGTTTTATTTTCCCAACAGAAGATGCCAAGGTGTTAGTTCATGCATTAGTTCTGAAACGCTTGGATCCTGTTTCTGCCAACAGTGTCCACGTTTCACATCCCTATAGGAGAATAGAGACTACCAGCAATTTGTACATTTTTCACTTCGTTTGAAAGCTGATTTACTCTTCCATATTCTTACTAATTTGGTCTTCTCAGCCATTGCTTCGGCAATTGAATGTTCATTATTTTTATATATCAGGTCATCCCATAAGTTCTGTCCGAATTTTGAATAAAGAAAACAAGTGACCAAATGTTACATTTAATTACAGATTCAATCAACAATGTATTTTCCCTGATTATCTATGACTTCCTTCCATCTATTAACAAGCTTACTAATTCCATTACTGTAAAATTCTTTTTGGCTTTGATTCAAAGAACTCACAAATGTCAGTTTTAACCTCTTCCTGTGTTAAAAAAGCTGTTTCTTCCAAATGATTCTGTAAGCTACGAAACAAATGGTAGTCTGAAGGATCAAGATCGGGAGAATAAGGTGGATGAGGAATTTTCTCCCAACCAAGTTCTTCGATCTTTTGTGACGTGATTCTTGCTGTGTGGGGTCACGCATTGTCCTGATGAAACATCACCCTTTTTTCGATTCACTAGAGCAGGTCTTTTTTTCCTCAAAGCTTGGTTCAAACGCTCTAATTGCTGACAGTATATTTGAGCATTAATTGTTGCATTAGGTGGTAAGAATTCAAAGTGGATTATTCCTTGGCGATCCCACCAGATTGAAAGAAGAACCTTTTGCCCATGAAGTTCCCTTCTCGGCTGTGGCTGGGGTCCTTCCCCTTTACCAAACCACTGTCTACGACGCTTAACATTTCGATAAAAGATCCATTTTTCGTCGCCAGTCACAAGTCTATCCAAAAAAGGTGAAACAAGTTGGCGAGAATGGAGAGAAGAGCAGATGTCAACTCGGGATTTGAGGTTGTTTTCAGACAATTCATGAGGCACCCATTTTCCAAGTTTAGGAACTTTTCCAAGTTGTTGAAGATGACGATGAACAGTTGTATGGTTTGAACTGAGAACCACTGCCAATTCCTCAACTGATAAAGCAGGATTTTCTTCAAAGGCTTTTCAAGAAGCTTTTCATCAAACTCAACTGGACGTCCGGTTCGATCTTCATCTTCAAGGGTGAAATCTCCACCTCTGAATTTTGCAAACCATCTTCTGCAAGTTCTTTCATTCACACATTCTTCCATAAACTGAGTGAATGTTTCTAGCCGCTTCGGCTGCTGAGTTTCCTTTCTTGAACTCATAAAGCATTATGTGCCTCAAATGATTCTTGGGTACTTCCATGTTAGCAGGGTTTTAATCAAACAAAATTTAATTTTATTGTTCTCTGAAATAAGATTTGATCAGTTTAAATGCACCTAAACATAAAAATAATGTTCAGCTCTATTAGACATTATAAAATACTCTTTCGTTCATTTTAACAAAATTTTAAAATTCGGACAGAACT